CTCACCTCGCCCAAAAAATTTGGAGTTAGTTAGACGAAACGCGTCGGAGAATAGAGACGTTTTACAACTACTGTTCGCAGAGTGCTGCTCACTAGTTCAGTTTTAAAAAAAATTATTCAAAAAATAATTAAAAAATTAATTTAAAACATTACTAAAAAATTAGTTTAAAAATTAATTAAAAAATTATCATTATCGACTAATGAGAAGTGCGCATTGAGCCTGAATACCATTAAACGAAACAACCAGTTTTCCTAATGTCTCACATACTGTCTATCATATTGGCGCTGGATGTGCTACAGTATGACAGTTTTAGCTAAAACCGTGGCACCCAAATAGTTTTCTCACCTCGCCCAAAATAAATTTAAAACAACTTCACCTGTTCCTATTTGTATGTCCGGCCAAGCCTTTTTGGTCATTGGCCCCCGTATAGCTGCTAACTATGGCTTATAAATACAGGCGTTTAGTTTGTAATACTTAATAAAAAAATAAATAAGAAAACTTTTTTAAAAAATTTGATAAAAAATCCGTTTTTAAAAATAATTTTAAAAAATTTTAAAAAACATTACTGAAAAAGTTTAATCAAAAAATTAATTAAAAACATTGTTTTAGAAAATTAATCAAAAAAATATACTTAAAAATTGTTTAAAAAAATAAAAAAAATAATGAAAAAAATTTCAATTTTTTAATTGCCAATTGCTCAAGGTGGGTAGATTAAGGTTTTTTTAATCTATATTTTTCTTCCCAATAGTTTTCTTAAACAACATTGGCGATATTTAGAGCGTTGAACTTTCCCTCTGCAGTCGAACGAGTTTCAGATGCATGTAAACCAAAAGATTTTGAAATGTTTGAAACAGCTGGCTAGAGGTGACAACAGCTTTAAAAGGTATGCATAAAATAAAACAACTTGTTAATAAAACAGCGGCAGGATTACAAAATATTGCGGGAAAGACTTGCGCCAAAGACCTAAAACACTATCATCAAAATTAAAGTATAGTTTTCCCCAAATAAAATCTTGTAAAAAAATTCTGAAAAGTTATTTAAAATCAAATGGCTCATATTTATAATTATTTATCTCTATCATACTGTGATTGAATAAGAAAAATTTTTCTGGCGAATGATTCATTCATATCAAGAAAAAAATTTGATTAAATATAAAGATAAGGAAAGAAATATTAAAATCTCACTAAGAATAACTAAAAATAGCATATGTTTATTAATTTCTTTCAAACTAAAACTGGATAGGATAAATGGTTCTGACGTATTATTCAATCCCATTCAATTTAGGGAACTATTCATTTTTTCAGTATTATTAAGATACATAAAAAAGTTACTTAGTTCTGATTGATTAGGATAAATGCAGTTTTCAGGTAATTCAATGCAGAAGAGGGTAAATTCAATGCAAAGAAGTAACCAACCAGACTGAACAATTCCTTGAACTGTTTAGCCGGACTTTGAACTTTTTTGCGCCTTAAAAATGTGGAAACATCATTGTATACTATTGATTTGATCCTACGCGGTTGTTTTGACCGAACGCACAATGTCGCTTGCAGGGTTTAAATAAGTTATTTTTGCACCTGATGCGCGCGCTTTGTCTCTGCATAATTGTGATAAGCTATCTCGTATTTTTTCATGTATATTATTAATACGTAATCACATGATTATTCTCGTGCAAGTTGGTGTAAATAGGCACTTGTAATTTTATCAGTCTTTAAAATCTTGCAGACTGGAAATAACCTTTCTTTGCTCTTATAGACCAGTCCACCACAACCACATTTCAGTCCTCTCGCTGTAAAAGTGCGTCTTTACCAAGAAAGGCCCAGTTTTATGGATTATCTAGATGTGATATAATTCAAAAGACAGGTATTTAGTCAAGATTAAGGTTAGTTCTAACTTTACATCACAAATCCTACTTGTATGGTTTTTTGTATTGTCAGCACAAACTATCTATGCCCACGGACTTATATTTTCAAGAGTATTCTATGGCAAAGGAGGATATCAGATGTAGAAACTTTTAAATCATGTAGGCACGTCCCTAAGCTGAGGCATATTTGGACTTCTTTAGAAGTCTACCTAGTTAGTTCGAATCAGTTATGGTAACAGAGCCGAGTGAATGACTTAAAATAAGAATTACAAGACGAGTGTTGAAAAAGTTCCGTTTGAAGGATCTATTCTTGAAGCTTGTTTCACTGATATTTATGTCAATTCACTTTTCACGGGTGGAAGGCAAAAAACTGAATCCCATTGGTTACCGGTCAATTAATTGGACACAATGATTTCAAAATGTTCAGGGAGGAGAGTGAGCGCCTAAGATGATGATGCCAACCCCGCCCCCACCTCCCCGACTTTACTATGGGTTTGGAATAAAAATACCTGAAGGACACAAGAAATACGAAGAATTTCGCGTGTCGAGGGAATCAAGGAAAGAACGCAAGAACGCTAGTGTGCACAGTTGCCACGATATTCGTGTGATGTAATAATTCCACTCAAGTCATTGTAAAAAAAGCGACCTCAAAAGCTTTTTTTGGGTCTGAGATTCGTACGTCACTACTTACGTCACTGCACGTTAAGGGTTAGGGCTGGGGTTAGGAAGCTACCCTGGCGAAATGCATTTAAAAATTCACTGCCATTAAGGTAAATGATGATCACTAGTTTTCTAGCATTCATAATTTATGTCAGATCCGAAACTTTTTTGAAGATTTTGAGAATAATTTAGGTCTTGTGGCTATGTTGTATTTAATGTTTACGAGTTCCTTCCTGAACTTACTGAAATTATGACCTTTTCTATAATTACATCAAGCCAGCTTGGTCTAAGCAAAATCATTAGTGGATTTTTCTCGACTTGAGAATTTGTTTGTTAGTGAGAGGCCTAGTCTCCAAAATTTGAATCTGGCCGTTTCAAGAGTTGGAGGATGATAGTGTTAAGTTCGTTTTTGATTGATCAGCTGTGACATAATTTCGTTCGCAGAAAGCGCTTTAAATTGGATCTAAAACAAATGTAGCAATTACTGTTACTGGACAATTTTTCGATCTTTTTTAAGCCATTGTGCTTTGTGCCTTAAGAAAATAACGCAAATTACTTAGCTTACTCTACCTGAAGTTGTCGATCGATTGAACCATTTTAGAAAACACCTAGTTGTAATCTACCTCAGTGTCTAAATATATTTTCACAGCAATTAGTAGTAATGTCGCAATCTGATTGGCCAATAGAGGTACTGACAACGCTGCTCGCGTCAATATGTCACGCAATGGTCACGCATTAAAAGAATCGTTTTATACTGGTAAACGTCTGGTTTTAGACTAGTTCAGGTATCTATTAAACAATTCAAAAAGCTTCTCCTCAGAAAGATTAAAAATTATTTTGTTTAATAACCTCTAGAGGCGTGCCTTTATTAATGTTATAGAAAAGAAAACAATCCAGAAAACAAAGTAAAACAAAATCAAACACAATTCACGAAGAAAGGAAATTTAATCATTGATCAATCCTTAAACTTGACATGGTGAATTTCCACTCTGGAACTTCTAGGCAAACCTAAGGAAGAAAAAAGAAGAATCAATGCATGAAATTGTCCTTTATTGTTTTCTTAGGTTTTTTTCTCTATTCTGCTACGATGGATGGAATCCATCTTCATAAAAAACAAACAAGCAAACAAACAAACAAAAAACAGCAAGAAAACCCCAATAATTCCTCTGTTTGGTTCACAAACAAAGCAGAATGTTCACCAATTAACAGCAGTTGAGGTAAAGGGAAACGTCGCTCTTAGCCTCAACGTTGAAATCATAAGGCACCCTTATAGAATCTCGAGCCCAACGAATGGCTTCGTAATCCAGTTGGTTGAAGCGTTAGAGCGAAATCTGGGATGCGGAAGTTTTAACTATTTTTTTCTAATTTCTCTTTCTGCAAACTGTCAAGGTCAGTTCATCACTTATCATCCATAATCAAAAGTAATATCGAGGACAATAGTAGAATATGATTAGGCCAATTATCAATGATCAGCAAACTGAAACAGCAGTCTTGCTTCTATCATAAAAATCATGGATTAAATACCTATAAAGCTATAATGCAACTTGAGATGGCAGTTTAATTGATAATGTGGGCTGTTTTAACGGTTCTTTACACTACAAGTACAGGAGAAACCCGCGTACCGCAAAAAGGAGCTTTGCTGTTTGTTCTCAGAAAAAATCTTCCAACTTTTTTCGTTTGGTCGGCACCATATCCCACAGAGGGGCACTCGCCAATGCATGCCGTTGTCTTTCCATTCTCACAGTCGTTTAAGCTCTGGCATGGATATGCTTTCCAGGAGCATGGATTCTGTACTGAGGCATAGTAGTATTCCACAGACCTCGCATGGTCACAGAGCGTTGTCTTGAATATATCTTATGAATTTGGAGACATTTTCATGTTCAGTGTTTTAAAGAATTTAATCAGGATAATCGTTTACTTTACACCACTCGATTTAAAAAGAAAAATATAACCTCCTCTCACCTGTATTTTCTAAGAGTTCTTTATTTTTTTTTTTGCGATTATGTAAGTATTACCGTCAAAATTATAGCATCACAAATAAAAAGAAAGCAGGGCAAAACTACAAACAAAACAAGGCAGATCATGTGTCAAGATGGAAAGAAATGAAGGGAGAAGAGAGGAAGGACCACTCCTTTGATTTCTGGTAAGGATAATCAACGATAATCTCTAGGCAGGCGCAGGAAGGCTAAAGTGATCACGTGTTGCCTTTTGATTATTTTTACGTCGTACGGCCTTTTCCCACTTGGGCGCCTTCCTAAGAGAGTCACAAATTTTGATTTTGAAGGAAATATTGTCGAATATTTGACCCCTCTCGATCTCCTCACAGCGAATTTCATAAACTTTTTAGTGCAAAGTGCTGTTCAAAACCTAACGAACGAAAAAGCACCTTTCACCTTCAATGACAAGGATAACAGCCTTTTGTTTAAGGATTAAAATATTCCTTAACTTGCTACTTGACGAATCAAGTTGCATTTTCTTGCGGCAAATAGCATTCTAATTTCACCCTCATGCAAAGTAACCTACCGAAGTCTATTTCATGTTTTTTACAGCCAGGCTGCCTGACGCCGCCATTAAGAAAAAAGTCAGTGTGGCCAGCATCTCTGCGCATCCCGAGACCGAAAATACTGCCACGCGGTGGCATGTCGGTGTGTATGACGTCAACGTATCCAGCATCATCTGGATCTAATCGGAAGCGAATGTCGTCGACTTTGGTGAAAAGGGGTCCCGCTGGATCCAATCCTTAAAAAAAGGAGTAAGTAAGGATCGTATTACTGATTGTAACGAGTCAATTTTGAAATCTAAGGCGTAAAATGTATTCAATACAATCTAAAAGCAGTCCTCTATTAATTTATTTCCCAGATGAATTGCCGACAAAGTAAACAAGGAGAATCCCCAAAAGAGACCTGCGAACATATTCGGCTAGCCTTGAAAATGTCGCTTACACTCGAGCAAAATTACGCCTGGTTAGCAGTGCGAACAAAAATGTGGACTGGACGATATCTTGCACTTCAAATAAAGCATTCCAGCCCCATATTTTTGCTCATCCTGCGCTTGCTTCTGTTTTAATTTACAAATCTTGGACTTTTTTTCAACGGTTCTTCCAATTTTACAGTAAGTTTTCATGGAGCGCGAGGTGATTGATTATTTTAAAGAATCTAAGAAGTATCCATGGGCTGGAATCAATATTCCTTCTTCAGAAGTACCTGTAATACGCCCGAGCTTGATGCCTTTCTCCTTCAGATAATTTCCAGCATATCCTGCCGTCTGAGCACCAAGGCTAACTCCTACAACATAAAACCGCTCGGCCAATTCAGGTGACCCATCAACGCTGGAAATCAGGAACTTTACAAGCTCCCCCACCATAGCCCCCACAAGTCGAGTATTTCCTGCAGATTGGAAATAACCTTTCTTTGCTCCTTTAAACCAGTCCACCACAATCACATTACAGTCCTCTCGCTGTAAAAGTGCGTCTTTCATTTCTAATGGCCACTTTTTTGGATTATCTAGATGTGATATAATTTGTGAGAAATATGAAGCTAAAGACTAGTCATAACTTACATTTAGACTCTGAGTTTCTCAGAGTGTTTTATACTGGATCCATACTGGATTTCCGAAAAACATGGATGAACGAAAAATGACCATGGAATAAGTCCCGTTTAATGGATCAAGTCTTGAAGATTGATACGCCCCTTTTTTAGGAGGCCCCGCTTAAAACCGCTGGGTTCCCTCATCAAATATTATTACTGATATTGCTATTATTTAAGTGAATTCACTTTTCACGAGCAGAAGAACAAAGAAAATTTAAGTCCGTCGTTTATTCCAGGAGAGACATTAAGCTCATAAATAGTCAAAGCTTTTATTTAGACTCGAGTTATCTGAGGTTCGTAGAGTCCTTTAACATATTTCTTTCAGTTTCAGGAATGCTTCTTTTTCATGGATCCATACGTGATGTCCAAAAACATGAATGAATGAAAAATAACTTTACCGTATTACTTGTATGGAATAGCTTCCGGGTAAACGATTGAGTCTTGAAACTTAATACGCCCTGTTTTAAAGACCCCGCTGAAAACTGCCCTGACGAGTTGGGTACCCTCTTTAAGTATTATTATAATTATTACTATAATTCTCAAGCTCAAGCTCAAGCCCTCAAGCCTTCGGTTATTCCAAGTTTAAGAGCTTAAACTGAAACCATTCGTATTACCTACCCTGCCAGCCATGAATCAAGATGATAGTTCGTCGCGAAATGTTAAACTTAGCCGCCCTCAGTAAATCCCTATCAAAATCATTAACTTCCTCAGACCCACTTCTTGTGAACATGGTGAATTTCGTGCCAACATCATATGGGCTTTGTGGTAATTTTGGCCTGAGCGTAATCAAACCCAAATGAACTCCAGGATGTTTGTAGAAGCAGCCGTATTTTTCATAGCAGACCTTCGAGGGCCATAAGAAACCTGCAGAAATACAAGTGACAAAGAGTTAAATTTTCACCAGTTCGGAAAATCGGCGTCATGATAATAATTTGATAATAATGTATACAGCAGTATTTGCATACCCTGATAAATTTTGCTTCACAAGAATATTAAAAGAAAAAAAATTTCGAAGCATCCATCGAGCGTAATCAGTTTTAGTTCTTTTGCTTAACTTTTATCATGTAACTGAAATAAGATGGCACAAGGCCATAAATTTACTTAAAGTTAAGAATATAAATCCAAAACCTAATATCGATAAGTAAAGTGACCCTTCCGGGACATATCAATTGGAAACGATAAAGGAACTACAATTCTGGTATTTCAAGCAAGTTAGTCAATCAATCAGTTAGCTATTATGGCCTAGCTAGGAGGTTAGCGCATATTCAAGGGAGGGCGCTTATTGGAGCGCGGGCGCATATTCGAGGAAAATGATGAAAGACGGTAGCCATAAAAACGACAACCTTAGAGGCTTTGTCTGCGGCGGTTGTAAGGAGGTGCTTCTCAGACGCTTACTGAAGTTTGATCGGGCCAAAATGCATTAAAATGTCAACGAGACACCTCGCTACAAAATGTTTTACAAATTCATGGCCATGTGGCATATGATAATTATTCGTATTCTTCTCGTTTGTTCAATCATGAAACAGGATACGGTAGACCTCGGACTTTCGTAGACCTTCGCGGATGTCCTTCGCAAAAAAAAATATTTAACGCAGTATTTGAAGCAAAACCACCATAAATTTTAGATCTATAGAAAGGTTATGAATTGTACTCTTCGGCTAAAATAATTTCGTTTTAGCATGATCTAATCGTAAGCCAAATGGGGCGTGACGATTCGAAATGGATAATGTTTCTTTGAGCGAATTAATTGCATATCAAATCTGACCGCACCAATAAAACTTCTGCAGAATTTCAGTCCACAGAGGTTGGTCTCCACAGCCGTATGGGGATTTTCCCATGTCCTTACTGGTTGCTTTGCAATTTATCCGTCAAGCTTGCTGATTAAAATTTCATCGATCCGTTTTACGTCGGAGGCTACTGTAGGATATCCATTTTGAAAAACGGAATTCCCTCACGCGGTTTTTTTAGGTTAGTTTTTTTGGGAGTCTTCGGATCAAATTTCAAGGCAATCCGTAAAGTTTGCATGGGAAACTTGGAACTTATGGTTAAAACAATAATACTTAGTTTGACACGAGAAAAAAAAAGGTAAAAATATTGGCAGACGAAGGTTCAGCTAGAATATCTTAGCTAATCACAAATGGCCTTTACTTATTGGAGGAATACTTTAAAAAGCTGGGAGTGGCTTGATTACTCACCTACTGCTGCTGCAGTAAGAATTACAAGTAGGAAGATAACTTCCTTCGTCACCATTGTTTTCCTTCTTCGCCTTAGCTTTGTTTTTGTGTATTCAACTTTGGCAATTGCTTGTCCGGATTCGATCCGAGTAATGCCAATATGATACAAAGTGATACAGTGTTATTTATAACGGTTAGAATATCCACGTCACTATAACATAACAGACCAATGGGAAGTGAAAGAAAGTATTGAGCCTAAGTATCATTACACAAAACGACTTGTTTTTTTAATTTCTGTCATACTGTCTGTCATACTGTTATACTGTCATACCGTACTGTCTGTCATACTGTTATACTGTCATACCGTACTGTCTGTCATACTGTCATACTGTTTTTAACGCATTAATCATTCACATCTGAAATTAATTTGTTTTTGTCAATTTAACAGTTTGAGAACGAACTCGAGAATTACCAATTTTAAAATAACAGTGCTTGACACATTGGGTGTGACACATCAGTCGACATTAGTATGTTGATCATACTGTTTTTGATGTATTAATCATTTACATCTGAAAATTAATTTGTTTTTGTCAACTTAACAGTTTGAGAACGAACTCGAGAATTACCAATTTTAAAATATCCGTGCTTGAAACATTGGGTGTGACACATCAGTCGACATTAGTATGTTGATGTTAGAGGAAAATGCTGTTAAGCGGCTCTTAAGCACGGTCCTGGAGAGTCATCCATTTTTTTCTCAACTTTAGGATTGGTTGTCAAGGGTAGCCCTCGTCGTTCATTGAATTTCCAGAAATTGCATTTCTAACTGATTAGCTGCGACATGATATCGTTTACAGAAAAGCCTCCAAATCAAATTTCATCTCCCAAATGACAATTTTTTTTTCATTAGACAAATATTTTAATCTGTTTCGAGCTGTTGAGCTGATTTTCTAACCAGTTCTTTCTGTCGATGAGGAACTTTAACTTATCGAATTATAAGTATCTATTATCAAAATATTTCCCGGAGGCTAGGTTAGGTCCGTAGATCTCTCAAGTTGTTCCATTAAACTGAGTACGAATTTTATTGACATGAAGAAACAACATGCATGGAACGATGTGGGTTAAGGTTTTCTGAAATTGTACCAATGTAAGTCGTTTGAGGAGGCCAAGATTAGCATGTTGGCAAACTGCGGCTATCTGGAAACCCATTGTGCTCAGGATGCGAAATAAACACCTAGTAAATTTCCTTTTGTTCTACAGCATGAACGATCCCTTCTCTGATCATTTGATAACACGCGTGAAAGTTGGACAAATAGTAACCGTGGTATATGAGAAATTACCATGCCTGTCCATGATCTAGAAACCAAGCGATAAGATAAGAAAAACCTTTCTTGAACAATTGCAATACCCAATTCTGCAAAAAGAGTTAAAAAAATTGTTCGGTTAATTAATATCACCGCTACTTCGAAGAATTCTCAACAGGTTTTGCAGGTAAACGTGCCCCTCTTTGAAACAAAATAAACAACCAAACAAAAAAAAGAACCAAAGCAGCAGCCACAATATTAGAACCACGTATCTTATCGGAAGCTTTCATTTTCGCCATGGCCATCAAGGGTTATCTTCCTCTTATATTAGGTGGTTGATTTTTGTTTCATTTTTTTTCTTTTTTTTTTGGTTGTTATTGAATGTACATTATTTGCTCCCTTCACATGAACCTTTCGTTCGGTTACCATTCCTGATATGAAGCCAAAGATTTGACACGATCCATTAAAGAAAAAAAGTTTTGCAAGCTCCGGATGTAATAAGATGTCATTTGCGGTATCTTGAAGTAGGGGAAATAGAATTCTTAATTGGTCTGTCCCACTTATACGAGGAGAGAGTTATAAAATAGACTGGTACTTGTTGGCCACCTACTTCGAGCTTTTTGGTACATTAGGATATCGCAGAGCAACAGCACTCCACTGGGATTCACAATCCGTTCATCATCATCATCTTTTACATACAGTTCTCTTGACTCAGTTTCTTCAGGTAGTTTTTGGTTCTACACTGTTTCACGGGGATCTTCGCAATGTTATAAATTCCTTCCTCTTCTGTACTTTAGTTCCTACAATGGCAGCCTCAGTTTGTGACCAGTGGTTGCAACCATTACGAAAGAAAATTAAACATTCGAAGCTTCGCTGGGCGTATAGTATAGCACACACTTCGTCCTTAACAGTTCTCTTTGTTATACAGCAATAACGTCAAACGTATTGGCAATGCATGGAAAACAGAAGGCATCAACGTCGCCGAGAACACTTAGAACATTAAAGATATGTCTTGCTATTTCTGATGCTGGCGTTGGTTTATTTGGTCAGCCATTCTACATTTCACCTCTTGTCAAGTTGTTGCAAAACGACAACTGTGGGTGTGTTTATTTGTTTATTTAACATCACGCAGGCATTGTTTTGTGTGGCTAGCTTAGGTGATACTGATTTCATAGACCTGGACAGGTTCTTAGCTGTTTATCTGCACATTTTTCATTTCACTAAAAGGGTTAAATACTGCGTTAATGGGACCTGTGTCTTTTTCGCTATATCCTTTTTTCTAAATTCCACCCTGTATACAAGCTTGGTACACGGATCGCTTTTCCTAAGGCGGTTGACAAAGGCCATGAGACACTGTTTCAAAAACACTGTTCGAAAGCTAGTTTTCTAAGACTAGAACTGTAAATAATCACATGCATTCGAACTTCTTAGGAGATAACTGAAAACTAGTAAACGGATAATGAAAGTAAAAGTAAAAAGTTAAACCAAAAACTCAATCAATCGCTCTGACGAAGGGCTAACGCTCGAAACGTCAGCTTTTTTACCCTTTACGGTGGCCAATTTACGTTTTCAACTCAGTTGTTAACACTAAATTACCTGCTATACCGTCTCTCACCGACGCAGCACCACAGTTTCTTTAGAAACTTACCCCCTTAATTCAATGATAGTTTGCCTAGTCTTGATATGTAAAACCAAGTAAATTATAGTTCATTTTGTGATTTAAGTCTGAGAATAGAATCATGATTGTGCAACATCATCTAGTTCTCTGGTACTGTTGTGACTAAATGCGCGGCAAGCTGTTGGTTTTCTTTTTTTTTTCTTTATATCAAAGCTAGTTTCATAAAGGTAGTTTCACAAAGCGGTGACGGCAAGGGAAATGCTTGTAGATAAGATACGCTGAACAAGCGGCAAGAAGCCAAGAAGCCACATTCATTCACTGCAATTATTCGTAATATCTACATACTTTATTTTGAAAAAAATTTGTTTGAGCAGCTGCCAATTTCAAGTAATTTATAAAAATGGAATTTTTTTTGTTTTTTGTTTTTACAAATATTTCATATAGTACTGTTACTCGATTATACCGGTAGCTGTCAATTAAAATAACAACTTAAAGTGGTCTAATATTAAAAAGCTACCCGGCGTAAAGGAAAGATACAATTATCAAACAATTTACCAATTGATACATTATCTAAAACTCACCTGACAATGATTACACCATCTTGTTCATGTGTCTCTTCTTACCTTAAACGTCCTCCACTAAAATTATTTATTTAGTTAAATAATCGTTCTAAACATGAGGCCAAAGATTTGACAAAAATCCATGGAAAATAGTCTTTTGAACAAATTACATGACTTCCGATGAGTTTAATTTAAAAAGGGCTTCTAAGGCACTTAACAAGCCGTAGTTATTAGAACTGACTTTTAGTATTGACTGTTCTTTACATCGTGGGTAAGTTGAGTAATTAAAAAAAGGCGGTTTTTTTTTCTCAAATTAACTGCAAACATGGTGAAATGTTTCATTTTCCTAAGCATACCTCCGGATGCATAAAAGCTTTTATTATTTAAAAATACATCTTGCGTCAAGAGAAATATTAATTTAAAGTAGTCTAACAAACAAATAAAGGACAACTGTCATGATCTAATCTTCATTCTGCCTCTTCCCTCGTTTCACCACTGGATTTCCATCCTGCATCACATCTCTTTGATGTAAGAATTTCCCCACTGAGCTTCCTCGTGGAGTTTTTATCCCAGTCAGTATTTTGAAAAAGATCATCCTACAGAGCTATTTCACCCGCTTTCACCTCACCATTTACGACTTCGTCAAGACTCTTGTCCCTATCATGGAAGACTCCGTATGCAACTACTGGCGACAGGTATCGCCAAAAATATCTGAAGTAATGAAGCTTAGTTGGACTTATGCCTTAAGTGTGGTCGTCAACAGTTTTCTATGTTACACAGCAATAATGTTAAACGTATTGACAATCCATGGAATACGAAAAACATCCTCTTTGCCAAGAACACTCCGCACGTTACTGATGAATCTTGCTGTTTCCGATGTTGGTGTTGGTTTATTTGCTCAGCCATTCTACACTTCATTTCAATACAAGCTGTTAGAAGGCAGCAACCCCGAGTGTATTTTCTATACGGCTTTTCATGTCACATTTATTCTGTTTTGCACGGCTTCTTTATGTGGTACCACAGCCATAACCCTAGAAAGGCTCTTAGCCATCCATCTTCATCTAAGATATCAAGAACTTGTGACTCACAAGCGGGTCGTTATTATGGTGATCTCCACATGGACGCTGAGTGTTTTTCTTTCTGTGATGTGGCTCTGGTTTCCGTTGCACCTTTCCAACTTCATCACAACTATTCTCGCGATTTTTTTTCACTTTCTGACAGCAATGGCCTACTTCAAGATTTCTTTAGCTGTAAGGCACCACAAGACTCAAATACAGTCCCTGCAAGTGCAACGCGAAGCTCCACAGCCTGGTGAAAGGGCAAATTTTGCTGGTCTTATTAAATTGGTAATCGGTGTTTTCTACGTGTATATCGTCCTTTTCATTTGTTACTCGCTGACATTTATTTTCTTTTTCATCATGGAATTAAATCATCATGGCAAGCCAGTTTGGAAAATATTTTATTTTTCGTTATCCCTCATGTTTCTGAACATCTTTAAACCCTGTAATCTTTAAACCCTGTAATTTATTGTTGGAAGATGAGACGCATTCGGCACTCTATCATGAACATACCACGACAAATACATGATTGGTACAGAAACCACTTTGGATGATACATGCGCCCTTAAACTTAATCTGATTTTACTTTTAAAGAGCTTCTATTGCCTAATGAAAACTGCAAATAAACCGGCTTTATTTAATCTTGAAATGAAATGGACCCCTGATAAAAGACACATTGAATAAGCTTGTACATAAAATATGTCCTGTACACTGTGTATGATAGAACACTGTTGCTCAAGCAAGATCATTTTATTTTCAGGTATGCACAATGAACTGAACACTTAGCGAGCTTTAGCTTTGATTAGTTCCATATTTCTTTTTCGTAATAAAAGGTAAATTCAGAGAGCAATCTCTTGGAACGGAGTGACAGCAAGAGTTGTAGATCCGTTCAATTGACTCTTGTGTTACCGATGAGAGGCCAAGACTGTGCACTGTCTTTACTGAATTTACATCAAAGATCTTCTCACCCACTCGCGGATTTATATAGTTATAATAATTCATACATTCCTCAAAACTCCAAGCCATACTATGGAAGGCTCATTATGCACATCTGGTGGCAGTTATTAATTACCAAAATTGTCTGAAGTATCGAAGCTTCGTTGGGCGTTTATCAATAATTTTGCCGTCAACAGTGTTCTTTTATCATACAGCAATAAAGTTAAACGCAGTGCCAATCCATAGAAGAATAAAAATATTTATACCAAGAACGATAAAAACGTTGCTAATAAGTCTAGCTGTTTCTTATGATTGCTTTAGCTTTATTGTACAGGTACAAATATCAAAAAGTTTCTTTTGGAGACATCAGCATCGAGAGAACTATACGAAGTACTTTAATTCTTTTTCGACCTAACACTTAGACATCTACCTTAAAATTTCTCTAAATTTTTGCTTCTTTTTATTCCACACCGATATTTAATATTTTTTTTCAATGACAGGTACCTGTTCTTTTGTTACCATTTTAAATATAAAGCCAAATCCATGAAATGCGGAAAATATCTCTGACGAGTTTTGCTGTTTCTCACTTTGTGTTGGTGGATAAATATTTGCTAATATATAAATCAGGTGAAGCTCCTATTATACAGATGTACCCAAAAACGAGGTACGGCTATCACGTGATAAAAAATGTTCCTTCGCTTAATAGGCTACCATATTTCCTTAGGTATAGGGTTCCGCTGGCTCGCTTCGCGCACTCGAGGTCCGCTATAAAAGAGAGTTACCATCACCCATTTATCAAGAGGCATTATCAACATGATTACATTTACAAGGAGTTGCTAATGTACTGCTCCCTCCTGAACTCCAGCCATAAAGAAAACGCAGCTAGATATGGAATTTGTACGCTGGTCATGCGTGACATCATGAGATGCAAGGCTGTGGTAGGCAATATAAGGAATAATCCTAAGCATACCACGCGTAAACATCAGCGCATGTCTCGCCACTGTTGTTATTCCAATAGCAATTATCTAAGACTTCCGCATACCAAATTTGGAATACTTGGCCAATTGACACCGGCAAAGGGGAAAACATTGTTTTAAATACCAGTTCGGTTGAGTTTACATCAGTGCCATTAAGTTTATATGAATGATACTTAAAGTTGCAGCTAGAGGTATCTTTTGCGTAGTCTGCAATCGGTAGAGCAGTCTTGTTTGGAAATGTTATGACTGTAAAAAGTTTCTTTTCACCCACTAAAGGGCTCGTACATCCCCAGTATGCTGAAGAAACACCAGGATTACATTTGATACCATCGCCACTCCTGTAAACAAGCTTGAATGTAAATATCAGGCCGGACTCCCTCATTGAAAAATTTCTTTGAGTGTTTTCTACACCCCCGAAGCAAATAGCGGCATTGTTGACCTTTTTCCAGTTCTCTGAAACAAACATGAGAGGCAATGCAATGTAATGCGTGCGTGAGTAATAAATGAGTCATTTAAACAACAAAAAATGTTTAATCTCAGATGATAGAGGTAGTTCGAGATTAGCGTCTTAATGCAATCACTCAGGCTGGATAACTATTAAAATCGTACGTATGTTCAAACGTCCTTGAGAGAATCTCGCAATACATACGAAAAAGGCAGTTAAACAGGCAACATTGGTATTGATCGTTTAATGGTGACTAAGCCCCTACCCCCCATCAGTGATGAGAGCGGGAGTAATGATAAATGGTGTTAAAATCAACATTACAAGGGGAGAGAGAAAAGAGAACGGCACGCCTAAAGAGACGCCTAAGTAAGGGCGCTTTCATCGAAATCCGTCAAGACTTTGGGGCAAGATTGTAGCTCTCTAGTCATAATGAATTGATCAAGCTACTAACAAGCCAAGTTAAATGACCAACTGGTATATCCGCACAATTTGAAGGTATATGAATCGTAAAACCCCATTGAAAGCGACCGATTTACTTGCAGAAATATTTGTAAAAAAAGGTAAAATCAAAAGAAGATTTCCCTTTTTATTTTTACCTTTTTCGCAGTGTTGTCCGGTAAATCCCGAACCAGCTTTGCACTCACAAAAATATCCTTTATCTGTGAATCCTGTCAGACAACTTCCGTTATGGGAACAAATTATGTTGCTACATAAGTTCTGAAAAAAAAAAGGCAAAAGTTTTGAGCTCTCGTCACTGATTCCTTTTTTCTCGGTTTCCTTTTTTTGAATGAAGGTGGAATAGTTGCGCAGCCTCGAGATTTGATCCGTCAAAAACCGTTAGTTCCATACTAACCATTTGCATTAACCAAAATTACGCTAAAATATTCCTAATTATGAAAGAGCGTAAAATTTTCCGGCTTGATATTTCTGTGTAGCATGTGGCTGTTGCGAGTTTTAATTTCTGCAAAGAGCATTCGATCTCTCACCTCAGCGTCTCTGTAAAAAAAGCCCATTCGTGACTTAAGATCTTCGGGATGTCTTTTGGCATCAGAATCACTCAGCTCGCACACCATATTGTCTGGTTTCGCCGATGGACCGGTGTTAAATGAGACACACCGGTTTTCCATTGTGCACAGATTTTTACAGGATTCATGTAATCCTATAGAATGGATTTTTATCACATGACCTTCCAGGGCAAAGCCTCGAGTTGGTTTGTTAAACTTGAGATGTCGGCACATATCTGAAGTGGAGAGGGAATGGTCATTAGCGATGGTTTGGATAGGGGCGAAAAAAAAAAAACTGAAAACACCTCAAAGCGTGTTTTACTTAGCTTTTCCCCACAGGGGCCTGAAATCAACAAAGCTAGTAGCAAGGAAACTAAAGAAGTGGTTCTCCATAGATTCTAGGTTTGCACATCATCGACCCTTCAAACTTGATGTCAGGAGAGAAAAAATTGCAAGAGATTGCATGAAAGGAAAAATTGTGCAAAAGTTCAACAATAACAAAATTCTAGTAACAAAATTCTTGCGGTAGAAAAATTGCCAGCCCATCTTTATTTTCTAATGAATCATTCATTTATAGTCAACCGTATCTGAATTGAGTGCAGGGGGCATGTTTCTTCAAAACAACTCCAAGAGCAGTGCACATTGCAAATCTTGATTTGCGTTAAATGCAACGCAGGGATAAAAATCTACCCATGCAAAGATAAAAGTTATCACAGGAAAACAATTACGATCCATGAAACGCAACCCATTTATGACTAAAGAAACCCCCTTTCATCTACGCATTCAGACGTCCAACCGGCAAGTTAATAATCCTTTTTCAGAAAGGCTAGCAGAATATTTTATAGAAGTTAAGTGAAAATTGCGGTCTTTTAAAATGAAAATGAGGATATTCTTCAGAGCTGGTTGAAGAGTGTTATCACCAGTTTCACTGATTTCATCGTTGAGAGGAGTAAGCAATCTATCCAAGACAATTTTCCAAAACGCAAACAAATGATCGCCCTCTGTTTACTGAGGACCGGCGCCATTCTCGCGATCTGTTAATTAAAATTAAAATGACAAAAAGTAACGTGTATTTGTTATGCAAACTATCCTTAAGACCCGCCAATAAGAAGAAAAAAAGGGTAACATTTGAAAGTTTAATCACATCCTTTCAAACCCCATCGTACATTTAAACGTAGTAGTCTCCTTTTTCAAATTGCTTTTTCATCATGATTTTGATAGTCCACATTTCAGTGTCTATAAGTATACATCGAACTGACTTCTGCACGAATCTTTTGACGAATTATTAATGCGGAAAACTATAAATTATTAAAAGATCATTTTCGTTTTGGAAAAAATATATTTCTACTCGAAATTAATCATCAGACTAATAAAAGCTGGTTTACTGCTATTTTTTCAAATTGTCTCTTTCTTTATTATCCACCTCCAAGACCCAGCGGCAATTGTTCAATCGACCTGACTTTTCCCGCCCTCGGGCCGTTTCAAATCAATGCTCAGTCCTCTCCAGGGAGTATTTTTACTTCCAAAATAACAGTTATTACGAATCGCAAATCATAGTCGAGATTTCCCAGCAAAAAAATGAAGTAACGAGAACTTAAGGACAGCTTTTTAATTTCTAAGCTCTAAACCTGGAAAATGAACCCATTAATCGGATAAAATGATGAAATTCAGAGTGCGTGCCAACTCAGCGTTAATTAGTATCTAAGTCATTAAGGATAATCTGGCGTTCTTAAAATGCTTACTTTTAAGCTAGGTTTGAATTTAGATTGAGAATAAACAGTTTGTCAGCAAAAAAAATCAGGGTTTTTTCGTTTATCTTAAATCTCAGGCACAATTGAAAATAAGATAAGTCAATGAGTTGTTTTTGTGGTAACTGTCACTCCAAATAGTGAAATTCATCTGTTTTTTAATTCAAACGGATCGCTTGAACGACGCCGGTCCTCAGTAAACAAAGCAATCATTTGTTTGCGTTTTGGAAAATTTTCTTGGATAGATTGTTACCCCTCTCAACGATGAAATCAGTGAAACTGGTGATAACACTCTCCAACCAGCTCTAAAGAGTATACTAGGACATAACGAGACTCTTTGCGGGGGCATTTTGAAGGAACTGGTTTGTGTCTTCATCAGAGTACATACCTTCCTCTGCGTCCACTGTTATGGAGCGAAGTAAAATCCTCACCAAAATGAAGAGGAAAGTTTTCATTGCCAACGAGCAGCAGTTTATT